GCGGAAACCGACATAGCAAAGACAAATGTCCTGCACAAGGTCAAACATGCAAGAAGTGCGGTAAGCAGAATCATTTTGCTAAATGTTGTGAAACCCCAGTAGCCAAGGTCAATGAACTGCAGCACTTGGAGGTAGATTCAGACGGTTTCATGATTTGCTCTGTTGAATCAAAAGAATCCAAGGATGAATGGATAGTTAATCTACTAGTCAATAACCAGCCGGTTGACTTCAAGGTTGATACTGGTGCTCAGGCGAATCTTCTTCCTGAGACAGTATTTCACAAATTGAAACCAAAACCAAAGCTACAAAAGGCCAAAGTGATGTTGACAGGTTATTATGAGACAGATATTCCGGTCAAAGGTCGTTGTTGTGTACAAGTTGAGTACAAAGGGATCAGACTTAATGTGCCGTGTCTAGTCATTCCTGGAAATCGTCAGCCTTTGTTAGGATTACGGACGAGTGAAGACTTGTATCTGGTGAAACGGGTGTATCATGTTGAGAAACAAACTGAACACGTAATGGGTAAAAGTGTAGTTCAAGACTATCAAGATGTGTTTGTAGGTCTAGGTTGTCTTCCTGGTAAACACCACATCACATTAAGAGAGGACGCACATCCTGTTCAGCATGCATGTCGCAAAGTTCCATTTCCACTTCAAGATAAACTCAAAGACGAGTTAGATAAGATGGAACGAATGGACGTAATCACACGAGTTGATGAGCCAACTGATTGGGTTTCTTCTCTCGTGGTGGTGATGAAAAAGAATGGTCAGCTCAGGGTCTGTCTAGATCCAAGAGACCTGAACCGAGCAATCAAAAGAGAACACTATCAATTGCCATCAAGAGCTGAAATAACTGCACATTTTGCAGGAGCCAAATACTTCAGCAAGTTAGATGCGTCTAGTGGTTTTTGGCAGATCCAACTAGATGACGAAAGCTCCAAACTTTGTACGTTTATCACGCCATACGGAAGGTACAAGTTCTTGAGACTACCTTTTGGTATTTTTAGTGCTCCGGAAGTCTATCACAAGATAGTGCACCAACTGTTTGCACATATTCCGGGAGTTAACACAATGATGGATAATGTGATTGTATGGGGAACTACCCAACAGGAGCATGATGACAGGTTGAGAGAGGTTCTCAGCATTGTGAGAAAAATGAATCTCAAGTTGAACAAAGACAAATGCGAGTTCAATGTCAAGAAGCTCACATTCATTGGTGACTTGATCAGTGATCAAGGAGTTCAACCTGATCCAAAGAAAGTGTCTGCTATCTTGAACATTGAGAGACCGAAATGTCGGAAAGATGTCCAACGGTTCTTGGGTATGATCAATTACCAAGGGAAGTTCATTTCAGATCTGTCGACCAAGTCAGCAGCGCTGAGACATCTACTAGACAAAAAGAATGTATGGACATGGGATCATGCACAAGAGGATGCATGGAATCAGCTGAAACAAGCTCTGATACAAGAGCCAGTCCTACATTTCTATGACAGCAAGAAACCAACCAAGCTGTCAGCAGACGCATCAAAGGATGGTATTGGTGCAGTGCTACTACAGCAATATGATCAAGATTGGGTTCCGATCGCATATGCATCTAGATCAATGACTGATGCAGAGACTAGATATGCACAGATCGAGAAAGAATTGCTGGCAATCACATACGCATGTGAAAGATTCCATCAATACATCTATGGACAACAAGTAGAAGTGGAGACTGATCACAAGCCACTTATTCCACTGTTTGTAAAGTCACTGGGTGACTGTCCCCTACGCATTCAAAGGTTACTCATCAGGGTACAGAGATATGATCTCAAGGTCTCGTACACGCCTGGAAAGTACATGTATACTGCTGATACATTGTCCAGAGCAGTAGATCCAAAGGCTGAGTTGAATGCTGAAACTGAGGAAGATATCAGAGTCTACGTAGATGCTATTGTAAAGAGCATGCCAGTTACATCGAACAAACGAAATCAGATTGTCGAAGAGACAAAGAAAGATGATCAACTGCAAGAGCTGCTAGGCATCATCAGAGATGGTTGGCCGGAAACGAAGCAGCAATGTCCAGTTAGAGTCAGGGAATACTGGAACATCAGGAGTGAACTCTCTGAAGCAGATGGCATCATCTTCAAAGGCACCAAAATAGTGGTTCCCACTACTATGAGAAGGTTCATGCTAAACAAAATCCATGAAGGACACTTAGGCATCGAGAAGTGTAAGAAACGTGCTAGAGAAGTCATCTATTGGCCCAGAATCAACACAGAAATCACTGAAATGGTCCTAAGTTGTACTTCATGCCTAATGTCCAGACCAAAACAGGTCAATACTCGATCAGTGAGGGGAAGAAAGGAGGATCATAAGGTGAAGCAAAAAGAGCGATTCGACAAACATGCTCGAGACTTGTCAAAACTAAAGCCTGGAGATCATGTCATACTCCAAGACATGAAAACCAACACCTGGTCGAAACGTGGTATTGTCAGGTCTGTCCAGGATCGAAACAGATCATACCAGATCGAGACAGAAACAGGAGAGATACGTCGCAGAAACAGACGTCACCTCAGGCCAGTCCCACGTCAACAACAAGCCGAGTCTATTCCACTACCAACACAGGATGACTTCGAGCTAGATGACACTGCAGAAGCTACAGAGCAACCAGCATCTGAAGAAAGCTCAACTACGTCATCAACCAGAACCAGAAGCGGACGAGTTATTAAACCGCCAGATCGCTTGAACTTGTAAATAAATGAAAGCGAACTACAGAGAAAGACTTTCGCGTTTTGTAAATAGTTTATAGTTACAGAGTTCAACTTGGACTTTAAAACATAACTGCAGGATTGCATGAGCATGACATATATATTTGCATGTTATAGTTTAAAAATATAACCGGATTTAATCAGTCACTTTGATTACAAAAATCAACAGATATCACTCAACCTCAACGGAGAATTCCAGTTTCGCGAATCGCAATCTTGAAAGATATGGACTGTCGCGTAATAAGTTATATATTTGAAAGCGACAGTACTCCAGCTTTAAGGGACAGAATAATGCCCTAGTACAGTCGCGAGTGTACAGGTAGTCCACCCTGTCACTCTGTACAGTTTAAGAAGTTTTATATATGTATATGTAAACCTCTTTTAAAGAAGGGAGGTGTAGTGATAGCTACATGTAGTTTAACAGAGTCTGCAAATACAGACTAGCATGTATAACTAAATATAGAATGACCTGCAACCCATGACTCATGCCAGGTCATGTTATGAAACAATGAGTACTTGTACATGAGATGCCTACAAAGATGTCTGACTGACACAGAGCCTCAATAAAGCTATACAACTTGTTAGTTCAATCAAAGCTCTCCAACTGGTCTTTTATAAGAACATAATAACGGTGTTCGGACACACACAATGCGTCTTCTCGTGGGCGAATCGTGCATCCGGGATTAACTCAATACGGCTTTCATGCATGCGCTCTCAGGTTAAAAACACGCGGCTTCTCGCACATGAGAATTAATCCAAGGCGCCTTATTCCTACAGCAACGACCGAACCCATGACTAACCCAACAACACTGACACCTGTACAGTCGGAAACTCTGACATCTCAACCCACTTTTGGTTTAACAAAAAGTTGTTTCATTGTTGTTGTGTTTGTTGTTGATGTAGTTGTTCTTTTCCTTGTTCTTGATCTTCTTGGGATTTTTTCGTAGAGGGGAAGATATATGAGTAAGTTTGTAGTACTTTAGATGATAATCGTGCTATTATTTTCACGTTTATTTATTTGTCGGTTACACCATGTTGCCTGTAGAAACTCGAAGACGTTATGAACTCAATAGCTATTTAACCTCGAAGACAAAATTAATGAAAAGACAAGTATGTGTTGTTTACTACCGAGGCAATGGATTAGGCATATCTTTTTCTTTTAAATAAAGATAGCAATCGAAGAGATAAAAGCAACAAACGATACCAGCATCAGTTAAAGCATATGCATATACAAGTCATGTACGTAGATGAGAACAAAAGAGGGGGGGGGCTGATTATGATCAAATAGTGGACGAGCCAACCGAGGCCAACAAATTGCCAAATGATATCCTTGTTTATGGATGAAACATCCATCTAAACCAATGAAAGGGGAATAAAAAAAAGGGATACATTGTGAATATTTTCACCAGTAGGATAATTGAAAGGTAATGCAATTGACAGTAGGCCTAGACTGTTTATGAAACATATATCACTCGAAGACATCATTTATACAAGAAGTGCCAGAGTCGGAAATGTGGTGCTTAAGTGGTTTTAACACTTGGCAGTTGATGTATAGGTTTAAGATTCGAGTCTCGGTCCTGCACGATATACATGAAGGGTATTTCTGGTTCATATTTTGACACAGGATTTTTTTTGTGTAAAGATGGGAACATTGGATGCTAACGGGGAATAAGTTGAAGCAGTTGTTGCTTTTGCTTTTTTATGCAAAATAGTAATTGTGTCACTTTTGTAATTAATGATGTGTATAACTTATTTCCAGACATCAATATTTCTTTGCACTGCAAACATTTTTTTTGCTCAAAGAAATGTCTTCATAATTTGTAGACATATCGCTCCGGTTGTCTCATTTTCGCTCGCTGGAACATTGCCAGCACAAACCACTGACCTCTACCTCCTGGACGGATCATCGCCCATTCCTATTCACTATACGTTACGTACTAAAAGGCTGTATTGTCTGACCGTTCATGAATATTCATGTTTTTGCTTACCTCGGCAAAATGTTTTCTTTTACTAAATGGAAAAATTACGGTGGGGGGTTTGATGAAATGGACTAAATGAACCAAGCAGAAGAGATCTATGATAATTCATGCTTCTTATCCTTCTTGGCAAACTGAGTCCAAAGTTCGACTTGTTTCACATGTGTATTATAGGCAATGACGAGCTTGCAACCCATTTTGATCAAATTACGGTAGGTGAACTTTCAAAAGTCCATGGGACATGCGGGTTCCAATGAAAGAGCTAGTGAAAACGTACGTCGGGGTTGATGTGCTTTTCGTTTTAACAAAAAAAAGAAGATTTTTTAACGATTTTGGGGGGGTAAAATGCCAACATGTTAAGCTGCTGACTCTGACGATAGGGGGGGGGGCGTTGTGAAATGAGACTAAACGGAGCGATATGCATACAATTAAAATACCAATGAGTGATGTCCAGTAACTTTATTGAGTTAAAAGACTATTCAGCTCTGGCCAATATGTATTATTTTGTATGATACATGACTTTTGTAAGAACACATTAATCTATTTCATTTAAGCCAAGTTTCTTTCTTTCAAAATAGGTCCTATCCAGGATGCTAGCCCTGTAGGCCTAGAAAGTGGGGCAATCCCAGATTCGAGCTTGACAGCTTTTAGTGAGTGGGACGCCAACCACGGTCCGCGTCGAGGACGGTTAAACGTAGTTCAAGTCGGAGCCCTATTCGGAGCATGGACTGCCAAAACAAACGATTTAAACCAATGGATTCAGGTCAGTCTCTTTTCCTGATTTTTTTTCTTGTTTGTTTGAAGTTTATCTCACCTCATTACACGCTCAACCAAGAGATTAAACAAAAAAAGATTCCGTCAAATATTAATTCCTTCCAAAAATACTGACAGACAGAATCTTTTTAAGTACATATATGTATCATCTAATCCCGACGTATTCAGGGCTCATGATCTACATCATTTTCAATTATACATGTATTTATTAAGTATTATTTGCACACACCCAGTCCGAGCGCTGAGCCATTTTACTTCAGGTATATATTCACAAATAGACATAAATACTTCCGATCAAGCATGCAAGAATAAGCTATCCCGCAATTGAACTACGTGACCAATCAACATCTGTATTCTATTGCAGAACTTTATTTAGGAAATGAACACAGTTTTAATAAAATAAACCAAAAATGTCAGAATATGCCAAACAGTTTCCCCATCTCCCTTTCTGAAAAAGAAGAACAAAAAATAGAATAAAAACAAGATTCAAATGACGAAAATCAAAAAAAATAATTTTCAGAGCAGCCGACAGACTAACATGAGGCTCTTTCTAAATTATTGCTAACAAGATTTGAAGATTTCAAATTCATTTATGTTTCCAACAAAACATTACAAATCAATTATAAGCATTTTTAAAAAAAAATTAAGAAATACATGTTGGAAACAGAGGGTTCACTAAAAAGCAATGCTTGTACAAGTATGAACACCTCAAATGAAACTTAGGAATAATGAGTAATTAAATTAACTAATCTGTAACTACAAAAGGAACTACAAAATAGGGGGGGAAGGGGGATGCCAACAGAGACGAGAAAGGGATAAGACAATACTTTACACGACAAAGATAGAAGAACCCGGTCATAATACAAAGAGTAGACAATGACAAAAAGAAGTGAGATATCGAGGGTACAGAAAATAATACTAAATGATGAGCTGCATGTGGGGTTGAAAAGGGGATAAGGAAAGAGAAATGCGCGTTAGAAAGGAAATAAGCATGAGAAGGAACAATATTGAATTACATCTTGAGTCAGTGAGCGGAGAACGACTAACGATTGCTAAATATTTTCTTGAGGAATTGACGAAGTAACTCATGTAGGGTTATATATATAGATGTCCTGTTAATACACAAAAATGGTATATATTTATATATGAATATATATATATACATGAACATTAAAAAAAAATCCAAAAAAAATATTATCTTCAACGTCATTTTATTCAAATCTCAGGTTGATCTTTTAGCTACGTACAACATCGTAGGAGTGGCAACGCAAGGTCGTCAGGACCAGTTCCAGTGGGTATCCAGCTTCAAGATTGCCTGCAGTATGAATAGTATTACCTTTGATACAGTGAAAGACCCGAATAACACCGACAACGACAACGTACGTACTGATTTACTCATCCTTCGACCCGTATCAGTTAATTGGTCGATTACCGGTCACGTGAAATTCGTTTATTGAGCGTTTCTCAATTACTTTTATTTTTCATGATGTTAATCATAGCATTTATCTCTCTCTTTGAAATTACACTTTATTCTATTCTCAAGTGATTGATCTAGCGTGTTTTCCTCAGATCTTTGCCGGCAATAGTGACCGAAACACCGTGATTTACAATCGCTTTCCCGTGCCAATGTTGTGCCGATATGTTCGCCTGTTACCTTACACTTGGCGTGAACGTATTTCTCTTCGTATGGAGCTCTTTGGGAAACCCCTTGGTGAGTTCCTCCTTCATTTAAACAAAGAAAGGGTAAAATGTTATGTAGTGTCTATATATATTAGATGAGCTAGTTTATCAGGGTGACGGTCCCGGGCTCTTGCCAGCAGAAACGACCCGGAAATGTTCGGGGGGGGGGGCTGGGAGTCTAGGTTTACAGAGTAAGGAGTATAACTACTCAGGTTATGAAATGCTTTAGAATGAAAAACATTATTTACTTTTGTCATTTAAATATTGGAAATATTAACAAATGAATGGAGAAAAAAAATCCCAGAACAGTGAAACTTCGAGAAAAATATGAAAAAAGAAGAAAAAAGAAGGGAAAAAAAGAAGAAGAAAAAAAAATACAAAAAATAAAAGAGAATTAAAAAGGAAAAAAATAATATTTAAACTCAACTTTTCATCAACGCTACAGTCATTTCAGTAGATTTAAGCATTACATTTTAGCCAGAGAAAGACGTTCTGCCTGCAATGATTTCTTTGATTGTTTACGAAATGTCTTCGAAATTTGCTGACATACAAATACAATGCCAATGAGTGAGGTCCAGTAGCTTTATTGAGTTTGAAGACTATGCAGCTCCGGCCAATATGTATTATTTATACGTACATGACTTTTGTTAGGATGGATGAATCTATTTCGTTTATAAAGCCATAGTTTCTTTCTTTGAAAATAAGGTCCTATCCAGGATGCTAGCCCTGTAGGCCTAGAAAGTGGGGCAATCCCAGATTCGAGCTTGACAGCTTTTAGTGAGTGGGACGCCAACCACGGTCCGCGTCGAGGACGGTTAAACGTAGTTCAAGTCGGAGCCCTATTCGGAGCATGGACTACCAAAACAAACGATTTAAACCAATGGATTCAGGTCAGTCTCTTTTCCTGATTTTTTTTCTTGTTTGTTTGAAGTTTATCTCACCTCATTACACGCTCAACCAAGAGATTAAACAAAAAAAGATTCCGTCAAATATTAATTCCTTCCGAAAATACTGACAGACTTGAAATCTTTTCAACTATCTATAATGTAACATCTAATCTCGACGTATTCAGGCTCATGATCTACATCATTTTCAAATATACATGTATTAATTTAGTATGCACACACCCGGTCCGAGCGCTGAGCCGTATTACTATACAGGTACACATTCACAAATAGACATAAATACTTCCGATCAAGCATGCAAGAATAAGCTATCCCGCAATTGAACCACGTGACAAATCACTTCTGCATTCTATTGCAGAACTTTCTTTAGGAAATGAACACAGTTTTAATTTTAAAAAAATAAAAACAATCAGAATATGCCAAACAGTTTCCCTATCTCATTTTCAGAAAAAGAACCCAAAAAAAATATTAAAAAAATAAAAACAAGATTCAAATGACGAAAATCAAAAAAGTAATTTTCAGAGCAGCCGACAAACTAAAATGAGGCTCTTTTCAAATTATTGCTAACGATTAACTATTGCTAAATATTTTCTTGAGGAATTGACGAGGTAACTCATATAGGGTTATATGTCCTGTTAATACCAAAAAAAATGGTATATATATATATATATATAATATTATACATAAACATTAAAAAAACAAAAAAATATATTATTTTCAACGCCATTATCATTCAAATCTCAGGTTGATCTTTTAGCTACGTACATCATCGTAGGAGTGGCAACGCAAGGTCGCCAGGATGTGTCCGTGTCCCAGTGGGTATCCAGCTTCAAGATTGCCTGCAGTATGAATAGTATTACCTTTGATACAGTGAAAGACCCGAATAACATCGACAACGACAACGTACGTACCGATTTACTCATCCTTCGACCCTTATCAGTTAATTGGTCGATTACCGGTCACGTGTGATTCGTTTATTGAGCGTTTCTCAATTCCTTTTATTTTTCATGATGTTAATCATAGCATTTATCTCTCTCTTTGAAATTACACTTTATTCTATTCTCAAGTAATTGATCTAGCGTGTTTTCCTCAGATCTTTGCCGGAAATAGTGACCGAAACACCGTGGTTTACAATCGCTTTCCCGTGCCAATGTCGTGTCGATATGTTCGCCTTTTACCTTACACTTGGCGTGAACGTATTTCTCTTCGTATGGAGATCTTTGGGAAACCCCTTGGTGAGTTCATTTAAACAAAGAAATGGTTAAATGTTATGTAGTGTATATATATATATTAGATGAGCTAGTTTATCAGGGTGACGGTCCCTGGCTCTTGCCCGCGGAAACGCCCCGGAAATGTTCGGGGGCGGGGCTAGGAGACACGGTTTACAGAGTAAAGACTATAACTGCTCAGGTTATGGAATGCTGTAGAATGAAAAACATTATTTAATTTTTTCATTAAATTATTGGAAAAATTAACAAATAAATGGAGAAAAAAAGTCCCAGAACAGTGAAACTCCGAGAAAAATGTAAACAAAAGAAAAAAAAAGATGGAAAAAAAAAATGAAAACAATAAAAATAAAGGGAATCAAGAAGAAAGAAATAATATTTAAAGTCAACTTTTCATCAACGCTACAGTCATTTCAGTACATTAAAGCATAACATTTTAGCCAGAGAAAGACATGCGGCCTGCAATGTTCTCTTTGATTGTTTACGAAATGTCTCCGACATTTGTTGACATACAAATACAATGCCAATGAGTGAGGTCCAGTAGCTTTATTGAGTTGGAAGACTATGCAGCTCCGGCCAATATGTATTATTTATACGTACATGACTTTCGTTAGGATGGATGAGTCTATTTCATTTATCAAGCCATAGTTTTTTTCTTTGAAAATAAGGTCCTATCCAGGATGCTAGCCCTCTAGGCCTAGAAAGTGGGGCAATCCCAGATTCGAGCTTGACAGCTTTTAGTGAGTGGGACGCCAACCACGGTCCGCGTCGAGGACGGTTAAACGTAGCTCAAGTCGGAGCCCTGTGCGGAGCCTGGACTGCCAAAACAAACGATTTAAACCAATGGATTCAGGTCAGTCTCTATTCCTGAATTTATTTCTTGTTTGTTTGAAGTTTGTCTAACCTCATTACACGCTCAACCAAGAGATCACACGAACAAAGATTCCGTCAAATATTAATTCCTTCCGAAAATACTGACAGACTTGAAATCTTTTCAACTATCTACACTGTTGGTCATAATGGTGGAATATTTATTTTTACCCCAGTTTAGGGAAGGATTTTTAAAAATTATTTATTTCTAATAGATCTAAATAATGGCATACAATCTCAGATTTTATTGAATATTAATTTACGAGTGTTTGTTTTGCGTGACTGCTTAATCATATGTGTGCTACTATGCTGGTCAGCTAGGGAACCTACGTCCTTAAATCATAATTGACAGTAATGAGGATTAATGCCTCACAAAAGGGCACTAATATAGCTGATCAGCACGATTTTTATCCTGGGGCCTCACAGTAACGAGGCTATTGCTTAGCCCCTGAATCATGACTGTACGCAGTGTTTGCTAGGGTACGCGGCCCCTTCCACAAATCCCCCAAAACGAAGAAAATGCAATAAATTGTCAAAAATTCATTGCATTTTCCCCGGCCCCCTACAGGAAAAATTCCTCTGTGTGGCCATGCCTTGAACCATAATGCATGGCCCTACAGAGAAATTTTTCCTGTAGGGGGCCGGGGGAAAATGCAATGAATTTTTGACAATTTATTGCATTTTCTTTGTTTTCCGATCAAGCATGCAAGAATAAGCTATCCCGCAATTGAACTACGTGACCAATCAACATCTGCATTCTATTGCAGAACTTTCTTTAGGAAATGAATACAGTTTTAATTTAAAAAAAATAAAAACAATCAGAATATGCCAAACAGTTTCCCTATCTCATTTTCAGAAAAAGAACCAAAAAAAAATAAAAACAAAATAAAAACAAGATTCAAATAACGAAAATCAAAAAAGTAATTTTCAGAGCAGCCGACAAACTAAAATGAGGCTCTTTTCAAATTATTGCTAACGATTAACTATTGCTAAATATTTTCTTGAGGAATTGACGAGGTAACTCATGTAGGGTTATATGTCCTGTTAATACAAAAAAATGGTATATATATATTTATATATATAGGACACAAGGTAGATAAATAAAAACACCGGAGAAGTGAATATTCCACTGACGTTATCGAAGTGATTCAAGCATGAACAACAATATACAAAATCAAAAATATATAGGCGACGCTTGGTATTAAAGTTCAACAAAGTTCAAAGTTCAAAGTTCAAAGTTCAAAGTTCAGTGTTCAGTGTTCAGTGTTCAGTGTTCAGTGTTGAACTTTAATATCTTTATTACGTCATAATGCTTTTTCAATTGCTTATTTTTCTTTCTGTGCGCCTCTTCTTTTCCTTTTCTTTTGCTTTTACGCTCTTCTAACGCTCCCTATATTTCTAATCTTCTCCTATTTTTTCACGTCACAATGGTCCAACTTTTGAGCTTTGTGACGTTTCTCTATCTCTTTTTCTCTTCTTTCGCGTACTCTCACGCGCCTTTGCATCTTGACTACCAAGCGTCGCCTATATATTTTTGATTTTGTATATTGTTGTTCATGCTTGAATCACTTCGATAAAGTGCTATGCCCGAAACGTCAGTGGAATATTCACTTCTCCGGTGTTTTTATTTATCTACCTTGTGTCCTATTCATTTTATGCACCGACGCAGAACCATTTATTTTTACATTATTTATATATATATATATATATAATATTATACATGAACATTAAAAAATCTAAACAAAATTATTATTTTCAACGTCATTATCATTCAAATCTCAGGTTGATCTTTTAGCTACGTACAGCATCGTAGGAGTGGCAACGCAAGGTCGCCAGGATGTGTCCGTGTCCCAGTGGGTATCCAGCTTCAAGATTGCCTGCAGTATGAATAGTATTACCTTTGATACAGTGAAAGACCCGAATAACATCGACAACGACAACGTACGTACCGATTTACTCATCCTTCGACCCTAATCAGTTAATTGGTCGATTACCGGTCACGTGTGATTCGTTTATTGAGCGTTTCTCAATTCCTTTTATTTTTCATGATGTTAATCATAGCATTTATCTCTCTCTTTGAAATTACACTTTATTCTATTCTCAAGTAATTGATCTAGCGTGTTTTCCTCAGATCTTTGCCGGCAATAGTGACCGAAACACCGTGGTTTACAATCGCTTTCCCGTGCCAATGTCGTGTCGATATGTTCGCCTTTTACCTTACACTTGGCGTGAACGTATTTCTCTTCGTATGGAGCTCTTTGGAGAACTTCTTCGTGAGTTTTAGTCACCTTCATTCGTATAAAGCAAGGGTAGAATGTGACGTAGTATATTTATATTATATGAGCTAATGTATCAGGGTGACGGTCCTGGGCTTTTCCCCGCGGAAACACATACCCCAAAATCGGGGGATGTTCACCGTTTATAGAGTAAAGACTACAATTGATCAGGTTCTCTAATGTTGCAGAATACAAAACATTATAGAGTTTTATCATTTAATCATTAGATTAGAACAAATGAAAAGAAGAGAAACATCCAAGAACTGTGAAAGTTCGAGAAAAATATGAAAACAAACAACAACAAAAATCATAGTTGTAAGGCAACTTTACATCAGCTCTACAGTCATGTCAGTAGATTTAAGCACAGCATCTCAGCCAAAGGAAGAAATACTGTCTCCAATTTTGTCTATTATGCCCAATGTTGTGTCACTTCGTGATAATGCAGTCTAATTATTGTTTTCTATTATGACATTGGTATTGTTACCAGATCTTCATGGAAGAGCACTTTTAAATGAACCATCCTGTACATATATAATTATCTGACTTTATTAAATGAGTTTATATATGAAATGATTAAATTAAAAACTGAATAATTGGATGAATAATGAAGTATTTCCTACTTAACTCCAGGATCAACTGAAGCATCAACAACCATGGACACCACAATGAACGAACTACAGGTTAGAAACGGGTCACGTGATTTCATTGTTTAAGATTCTGTTCACACAACTAAAGTAGAATGGTTGATCAAGTAGGTATTTTTAGGTATTGAAAACATCAAATGACAACTAATTGACTCAATCTGTTTTGATTCACTGACAATGTAAAGCTCTACAGTACGAGTAAAAATTACCTTGCATGCGGCATTCAAATTAGGTGAACATTTTGAATATATGTTGGTCATGTATAGATTATTGGGGAGGCATTTCAAGAACAACATATTATGACATTGCTACTATGACATTCTTTAACAAGGGAAATCAATAAAAAGAAAATGCAAAAGCGCAACAATAATTTTCCGCTTACACAAAAGTCACCCACCTCTTTTAAATAAAAACCTAGAGTACTGCAGGTGAGACTACCGTTTATTTGGTGACGACACAAAATGATCCGGGAACGACCAGTACAGCATCAACAACCTTGAAGACATCAAGAGAAGGAACTGTCGCTGTGACCGCACCGACCAGAACAACGCCCCCACAGCTTCAAGGTAAGCCTCATATATTTTCGTTCCCCTACAATAAAATGGGTAGAAAAGTATTATAAATATAAAGTATTTCTTAGAATATGCAGTCTAATCATTGTTTTCACCGATGAAATTAGCATAGAGGTTGTTAACAGGACCACATGAATAACCACTTTTACATGAGCCATCCTGTTCATTTTCCAAATCGATTAAATGATATAAGAAACGAATACAGTATATTATGAACTACTTAATAAATGATTGAATATGTAAAAGAGTAAATAAATGAATAATACTAATAGGATAAATAATTAAGTATTTTTATATTTAACTCCAGCATCAACTGAAGCATCAACAACTATGGACACCACGATGAACGAATTACAGGTTAGAAACGGGTCACGTGATTGCATAGTGAAATAAATTGTCCACACAAATGTGGAATACGGGATCGAATAGGCATTGTTTAATAGGTAGTGCAAACATAAAATGCAAGTAATTGACTCAATCTTTTTCGAATCACTGACATTGAAAAGACCTACACACAAGTACGAGTAAAAATTACTCTGCATGCGGCATTAAATACAGGAGAACATTTTGAAATTCAGGAGAACATTTTGAAGATATTTAGGTCATGTTTGGAATATTAGGGAGGTATTTCGAGAACATTATATGACATTGGTACTATGACATTATTTCAAAAGGGAAATCAATACATCAATAAAAGTGAGAAAGCGCAAAAGTGATTTTCCGCGTTCACAAAAGTCACCCTTCTCTTTATCTAACAATACCTTATTAGACTACTGCAGGTGAGACTACCGTTTATTCAGAGACGAAACAAGGTGATCCGGGAACGACCAGGACAGCATCAACAACCTTGAAGACATCAAGTGAAGGAACTGTCGCTTTGACCGCACCGACCAGAACAACGCCCCCACAGCTTCAAGGTAAACCTCGTATATTATTGTTCCCCACAATAAAATGGATAGATTAGTGAAAGCTAAAGCAAAGAAAACGGAAATTCCACATTTTGCCTTAACGTTAATCAACTGCTTTTGAAAAAATGGCTGAATATCCTGCCTTTATATCCTTTGTGTAATAATAATAATAATATTTAATTTTTATATAGCGCTTAATACAAATGTCTATATAAGCGCTTTACAAATATACTATTACGCCGGTCATTGCATTCAGTGCTTGCCCGCACACACTGTGTGCACAATCTCCACTCCCTGGGGAGCATTCCAGCCGGGCGTTACTTAGAAGACCACTTAGAAGATAGTACTTGTACAATTAAACCTGAATATGCACAGGCTTTGTTCATTTTAGAATATTCTCTGCCCAAGTGGTTGAGGTTTTTCGTGAATACCTGTTGTTTGACCTCATGACAAAAATACTTCCGCTTGTGTACCATAGACGGCACCCTCGTTGATGATAGCCTCACTTTCAAGAATCCTTTTCCAGCCTTCGATTCGAAACTTTTTTACAGTTTTGTATACCCGGCCTCTAATCTGCACATGCGTAGATAGTATATCTGAATTGGCGTTTCCTGCCATTTTAATAGCTACGTACCTAAACATAAATTATTTCTGAACAATATGTTGCGAATTTGAAATTTAAATAGGAATTGATTTATAACTGATTATTGATTAAATTATCATGTCTTTCTGAAGTATTTTATTCAAATCTAAAGCTGTTAAGAATAAGATGATATTTGTCATGATGAGTAAAGCTACATCGCAATTGAGTCATGTACATTATCGAGCTTCTGTATAATGAACCTACAGGTCTGTTGGGTGTTTTAGCGGATATGAACGAGGCAGAAACCGTAACTTTTGGACTTTCGACGCCCTTGATTTTTTATTTCACATTTCTTATGCTGGCTCTCCTTCTGCGCTTCATCGTCCTTTGGATTAGAGGACTAAAGAAAAAAGAGGTAAGCGAAAAATTTAAACTAAAGATTTGATTTGACAACTTAATTGATTGAATCTTGGCATAGACAGCTAAACAGTATTTCTTTTCCTGATTCATGTCGATTTTGCCTCTGCCTAAGTTTTGAAGAAAAAACAATTAGAAGTCAACCAAAACTTTCGTTAAATGGTTTCTATATGAATAGAAAGTACTCACACATACATCTTATTAATCAACTCCTGAACATTGTTCATTCCAAAAGGCGATTAAACATGATTGCGACTACTTTCGAAATATTAACTTAAGGGAAGTTCAATAGCTCCCTCTATCACCGTTTGAAACATGCGAACATCACAGTGACGTTTTACGTAATCCGATCGTGATATCTATGGCATATTAACAATGGGGTGCTGAATTGATGTTTCTAATGTAGTTGCAACCATGTTAGTTTTATATGTATTATACATTGCTAGCGCTCAGCCAGCCATAATCACACTTTGATGAGCAGCCTATTTAATTCTCAAAGAATATATTATCAAATGTAATAGTGTTAAAATATCGATTTCACTTGGTTTTTGTAAGATTGAATGTTAGTATGCTTTTTATTTTCTCGTGCACTGTCTTCACAAATAAAAATCTAGCTCTCTTTCGATCTCTCTCTCTCTCTCTCTCTCTCTCTCCATCCCTCTTCAACCTCCCTACTAAAGGTGGAACCAGACCAAGAACGCCCTCAGCGGATGTATGAGCTTGTAAGAATCTCATATTGATGACTGCAGAATCACACCAACGACGAAAAAAAAAAGCCGTAACATTTGCAATTACTGAGTGAAAGGCATGTCAATTGAAATACCACTCTCCTTTTATATAACGAATAAATTGTCTTTTCTTTCATCCATTCTCTTCATCTCTCTTTCTCTCTCTCTCTCTTTCTCTCCACTCACTCTTTCTCTCTCTTTGCTCTCATCTCTCCCCTTCTTTCCTTCTCTCTTGCGCTTTAAATCCTTTTCTCGCTCCTGTTAGTCATGATCTATACCGTCAAATCTAGCGATGTAGTCGCAGCTTTTGAAAAGTTCTTGGCAACATTATCAATACTTTATAACAGAGCATTGTAAAGAAAATCTTTAAATCTGTTCGTAAAACGATTAGAACACCGTGGATTACGTTTGACTTGTATAAAAGATAAGGTTTCAAAATAAAATAAATGGAAGGTATTGTCATTCACGTACAGAAAATAACAAGAGGAAACACGTTCAAATACGAAATAACACTAATACGTTATTAAAACTTGCCCACAAAGACTACTACAAGATGAAATTTTATGCAATAAAGGGAAATATGAAGAAAAAAACATGGTAATTAATCAATGGTATCCTGGGTAAATCTCACAATGCTTTACCTAATTTCACGAATGTAAATGGGAAACAAATATCTAATTCGAAAGATATTGCCAATCATTTTAACTTTTTTGTTGTAAATATTGGTCTGTCTTTGAAAAATTCCTTATCCATATTAAAGCAATACTGATAACTTTGCCAAATTTTGGCCAAAGCAAAATTCAAATTCTGTATATTTTAAAGCTGTATCTGAAAATGAAATTATTGATGTAGTGAAGAAATTGAATTGTACAAACAGTTGTGGTGTTGATGAATTCAATCCTGATGTCATAAAGAATGTAATACACAATATTGTTACACCATTGTGTTATATTTTCAAATTATCGATTTCTAGTAGAGTTGTTCCCTCTAGATTAAAAATTGCAAAAGTTGTACCTGTTCATAAAAAATTGATATTCATAAGGTTGATAACTATAAGCCTATATATCTATACTTCCTTACTTTTCAACAATCCTAGAAAGGCTCGTCTATAATCGTACAAATTATAGCTATTTATGCACAAATTCTATTTTGGATGAAAGAAAGTACGGTTTTTAAAAGCATGTGTCGACATTGGCTGTTTTTGATCTTCAAGATTATTTAATTAACAAATTACATGCTATTGGCGTCTTCTTAGATTTAAGCAAGGCATTTGATACAATTAATTTTTCTATATTATTATCTAAACTTGCCTGTTATAGGATAAGAGGTTTACCACTCCTCTTGTTCAAAAGTCATTTACAAAGTAGAACTCAATGTGTATCATATTATGGTGTTTTATCTGATTATCCGGAAGTCTCATGTGGTGTGCCCCAGGGGTCAATCCTAGGGGCCCCTACTGTTTTTACTTTATATAAATGACCTCCCATATTGTTCAGATAAATTGAAATTCATTCTTTTTGCTGATGACACCAAAATCCTCTACACTTGAAGCGATATTGGGGTTTTATATAGCACTTTATATATTGAATTGCGTAAAGTATCGAATTGGTTCAAATGCAATAGATTAATCTTGAATGCTAGAAAGTCAAATTTTATATATTTTCATTCCAAATATGAACCGATTTCTAAAGAGCTCCTCAACTCATATCAAATCGAAATGGATGATAATATTCTTAATCGTGTTGCTCATACCAAGTTCTTGGGCATTTTTACCCAAGGGTATTGACGAAAACTTATCCTGGAAAACACATATATCCCATATTAATAAGATAATGTCTAGGAATACTGGTGTCATCAGCGAACTCCGCCATACTTTCCCTCAATCTGTTCTCCTTATGTTATACAATACACTTATATTACCGTTTCTTAGTTATTGCAACATTGTTTGGGCAAATACTTACCCAACCGTACTGCATCAAATATATATTCTAAACAAGAGGGTTGTAGTCTGATTCAAGACCAATCTTTAAACAACTTAATATATTAAATGTTTACCAGCTAAATTAATACTTGTGTGCAATATTTTTATTTAGAAATGAAAATCTCTGCTTCCTAAAAACTTATCCAATATGTTAATAACAAACAGTACAATACATAACTATAATACTATAAATAAGAAGAAATATCATCGATGGTGTGTTAATACAAATTTTGCATCATATTCTTGCAGACATCATGCACCTGAAATTCGGAGCTTGCTTCCAACTAATATAACTTCCATCTCGTCTTACAACAGTTTTAAACGTAATCTCAAAAGTTTCTTGATTGTGCATGACTCACACTGAATGTATTTATCCAGCTTGTTATCGCCCTCTCTCTCTCTCTCTTTCTTTCCCCCCTCACATTAAGCCTTTGACATCTTCTGACTTTTGCATCATATCATGATGAATTTCGTGTACTGGGTTTGTGCCGGTTGTTATGCAATTTCTGAATGAAACTATCCGAAACTTTACTTGCTACTTGTTTTCTTACTATAGATGCTGCTTGTAAGTGTCGGCTTGCATGGTGATGTAGATATACAGTAGGTTTGCGGTTGCACCATGTATGTGAGAGAGAGAGAGGTTTGAGGAGTCCTGAAAAGGACTCTGACTCGGTAATCTTTCTTGGAGGAGTGTAGTCCTTAAAAGGACTGTTTGTTATCTTTCTTAGCATATAGTTCTCAGGAGAACTATAGCGCTTGGAGAGGATGAGTGGCTCGACGTTTCGAACGGGTTGACTATCCGTCGTCAGGAGTGGGGAATAGCTGGCGTGCGTGAGCTTAAGTCACCGGTGTGCGGACGTCAGGGAAAAATAGGTGACCGTGTCGGCTTGAGTCATCGGGGCCCGGGCATGGATGGTCGGCTGGTAATTCGTCTGACTATCCGTCTGGGCTGGAGTCTCCGGGTTGCGGACTTAGGAGAGTTTCGAGTCGATGAGTGGGGTTTATATTTATTATATCTAATTGGATAGGAAGCTTTCCAGACTAAACCCTTCTTGTTTTTGTTTTTTACAGCTGTGCCTTATTCTGTTTTGTATTAATTTATTTCACATGTATATGTTGTCCAAATTTATGTATTATATTTTACATGAAATTGCATGTTTTTAACTTGTAAAAATGTTTTTAAAGATGGAATTTAATAAACTGAACTGAACTGAACATATCATTTTTTTGTATATCTTTCTATTATGCCCAATTTTGTGTTACTATGTAATAATGCTGTGTAATTATTGTTTTTTCGATGTAATAGGTATAGAGGTTTTTAACAGAACATCATCGAAGATCACTTTCTAATGAGCCCTGCTGTACATGTATAATTATCTGAAGGGATTAGATGGTATAAAAAAATAATATATGAAAAACTTGGTGAATAATTCAATATGTAAAAGAGTAAATAAATGAATAATTAAATAAGTAAGTATTTTTGGTTTAACCCCAGTATCAACTGAAGCATCAACAACCATGGACACCTCAATGGGAGAATTACAGGTTACAAAACGGGTCACGTGATTGTATAGTTTAAGATATTGTCCTCAAGTTATGTAGAATGGCTGATCAACTATTGTTAGGTAATGAAAACATCAAATGACAATTTATTGACTCAATCTTTTTCGAATCACTGACAATGAAAAGCTCTGCACGCAAGTACGAGTATATAATACTCTGCATGCGGCATTGAAATCAGGAGAGCGTTTTGAATACATTTTAGGCATGTGTGAACTATTGGGGAGGCATTTCAAGAACAGTATATGACATTCTTTCACAAGGGAAATCCATACAAAAATTGGGAAAGCGCACAAATAATTGTGTGCTTTCACAAGAGTCATCCTTCTTTTTGTGAGGTGGTCGAGATCTCCAGATCAATGACAGACAGACGGATCCTGTGAGAGGGACAAGCAAAAGGTATGTTTATTAGTAGTAATCAGTAACTGACACATTACCTATCACATAATAATGCTGATTCTCATGGCGATCATGCATTCCCGAAAACATGTCATTTTATCAAATATAAAACGAATAGATTTGCCTTTTACAAAATTGTTGCCACAGTACAATGTAGCTACAACTCTCAACACTAACACAGGTAAATACCTGAGCCAAATACTTAAGCAAATAAGTATAAGTCAATATTAAACTCATTTAGAGCAACACATTCACAAATATGGATAAACAAACACACCCCGCTAGGTTTAAGAACCTGATCATGTGACCTCTATATCACTACTTATTTTTTTGTTCATGACCCCGCCACTATTATTCATATGTATATGTTATTGATTTGTAAATTGATTTTAAAGTGGAAATAAAATTGAATTGAAAAAAATCACAGTATCCCAATACCAGAAACATTGATAAATCCTGGAATCTATCAATCTGTTTATATCTGCATCAAATACAACTTTCATCAACCACTCCAATCCAAATATTTATCTTCCATGCATTTCTTATTTCCAAACAAACTCCAATAATCTCCTGGTCTAACCCTAAACACTGCTCTTACTATATACTATCTCCAAAATGAGAAATAAAGTTTACAATGAGAGAGGGCGCTATAAACCCTCTAATGGCTAAATAGTCGGGAAAAGTTCGATCATCATTGTTTGATGTGTCATAATTAATATCCCCTTAGCAAGAAAAATACAAACAACATGCAATGCTTTTAAACACTCAACTTCTATCATAAGCACTTCTTTTCTATGCTCCCTATATTTCTAACTGACCTCAGTCCTGAAACAAGACCTATACTCATTATATAAATTAGAGCGTAACCCTGGCCGTCTTTTTAAATCAAGTAACATTTTATTACACAGTTATATCCAGAGTGGGGGTCGACTCTATAAGTATGCGAGCATCATCCACGAGACGCATAGCGGCTAGTCGATTTTTTATTTTTTTTTTTTTTTTGTGGGGGGGGGGGGCTTTTTCGAAGCCCCGTAGGTGATGTTTTCCTGGCATCTACTAACACAATGGAGACCATAAAAAGCAGCGCATGATAACGTCTTTTAAAATCAAGTAACAGTTTAATACAAAGTTATATCCAGAGAGGGGGGGGGGGGTTTGACCAAATGACGATGCGGATACTGTGTGGGCTGGACACATGATGGCGTTTTTCTATGCATATCACATTTTCATTTGGCAGCCCAAGGGGGGGGGGTAAACCCCCTATTCCCCCCCCCCCCCCTGGTTGATCCCCCTGCCAAAATAAAATTGATAGACTAGTGAAGGCGAAACTAAAGAGAAGGGAAATGCCACATTTGGCCGAAGCCTCCATCAAAGGTTTCTGAAGAAATGGCTAAACATCCTGCCCAACCTATAGATCACTTCGGAGATAGTACAGTTGAACCTAAATATGCACAGATCATCTACACATGTATGGAGAAGTCTAACTTTGTGCATTTAAGAATATTCTCTGCCGAAGTGGTAGAGTTACTTCATGAATACTTTTTGTTTGACCCCATGAAAAGATTACAGAAACAGAATGGCAAAAGTTTGAAATGAATCCGACCAATGATAAGGAAGTTATGAAAGTTTGAAATATGAGATCACTAAATCTATGCTAACTTCATATAAGTAGTATGGTCAATGGATTGTGACGTAGGAAGTGGATAAATCTCCCATTTGACATGTACACAAATATCATTAATTTCTGTGTTTTTTCTCGTAAGTTCCTTCTCCCTTTGGGCACTACTCAAATATATTATAGATAGCATGTTTTGTCAAAATTGTAGTTATTTTATACGTTTTATACATTGACATTACCCCTTCAGCTAATTTGAAGTGCCTAAAAGTATACCTATATTGCTTAAAACGTGCAAAAATTCATAGTTTTCTTATATTTAGTGCGATTTAATTAAAACTTTTATCAGTTTGCATCTCTGATTGTTCCGACTTCTTTTAGAATAGTTGTATATTTTTGTTGGATTTCCCTCTTAAGATGTCACTTCCGCACTAAGTAACCGTTTTCATATGTCATTATCAATATTCTACTGATACGTATGCCACTACAACGTATAACACCGCACAGAAGGAATTGATATGGAACAAACTGCAAAACGTCGTCAAAGCTCATAATTAGATTCGAGATTAAAATGCGCGAGTAAATGTTGTTTTCTCTACCCCCCCCCCCTTCCCTCTCCCTTCTCTCTCTTCCTATATGTATGTCTGTCTAACTGTCTTTCTCTCTCTCTCTCTTTCTCTATGTCTGTCTCTCTGATTCTCTTTCTATATTGCTCTCTCGCTCTTCACTCTCTCTTCTCTATCCTCGCTCTCCTCTCTTCCTCTCCTTTCCCTTTCTCTTGCGCTTTAAATCCCCTTTGGTATCCTGTCAGTCATGATTTTTTTCAGTCAAATTTAGTATCAATATGATATGATATGATATGAAATTTTCTAGCATAAAATATTTCTGTATTATTATTTATTTTTTTTAAGTGAAAGCTGTGACTCTAGTTCGGATCTAGCTCGCAATACAGCAGTGGTGATGTTTTTATCGTTTTCAATGCATAACTCCCTATGCATTAGGCACGCATTTCATCTACCACACACAAACACACGCGCGCGCACCACACACACACACACACGCACACCACCACACCACTTGCACGCACACACACGATACACACGCATACACGACCAGACACTCACGTTTCATGCCAAACTCTTCTTATTTGAATGTTTTAAAATAGCTGTAATATTCTCTTAGTTTATTGGTAAATTATTCTGTTGAAACCAATGGCATATTAAGTCATTCAAGCATGATTGCTACAGGCAATGACATAATATAATGAAAAGACATTGCCCTTTTATTTATTTCTTGGAAGATCTTTAAATGAATGCGTATTAAAAAAAGAGTAAACAGAATCAATATGGTAATACTAATTGGGATAACAGTGATGATGGTAATGTGGTATAACAGGGAAAGGTTACACTACGGAGAAGGACGCATATAATTCATATTGCAGGGGGTATTAAGCTAACCTGTGGCTTTCACGATTTGTTAACAGTCCACTATTTCGTTCATTATCTGTCTAGTGATATTACACAAATAATGACTGCTTGGAAACGAGGTCTAAGGGTATAGTGCAGGCTCGAGATCACCGAAGATCTAGAGTTTTAAAGCCACACTGTCCTACCTGTAGCTACTTGCTCCCTATATATATAGAAAACAATGCCTAATTGGTGACCATTGGTCCCCCACGATCCTCTTTTTCTTATGTTAATTGAGAGCTGAGTTCATGAGATCACCACCTGTCCAGTGACTTTGCATTGAAGTCTTTCCCTCCTATAAAATAGTACAGATAAGCTTTAACATTACCAATAAATTAGACAGTCAAATAATTAATATATGATTAATATACCGCATTTCCGCTTGTGGATTCTTGTGGATTCTTAAAAATCCATTGTTAACTTCATGCGTATCTATTGTGTCCTTGCATTGTTCACGCGAGTAGAACCTTGGCCGGCTGATATTTCTTTTCCGCTATACATTCAGTATCATGCCTGCAGTTTTGACCAATCAGAGTCCTTGACTCTTTACATGCGGTATATAATATCAACTAGATGTAGCTTCAATGAATTATTAAAGCTCCTCAGATAGATGATCAGAACATTTCCAGGACAGTGCAGTCTACACGCCTGATTGCTTGATTTAATTTATATTTTCGAGTGGTTTTCTTGGCGGCATCATTAATGGATAAAGACGCAACTACTTTGATTTTGATCCTCGTATCTGTCTCTTGGATTGCAGGGCAAGGTGGTAAGTAACACGTAGGGTAAAGGTTGCTACCAAACATTTATCTAAATGTACACAGAGAGTTACTGCATTACAGTCACTTGGTCCCAGATGCGTATGGCCCTGATTTCTTCAATGGCGCGATGGTCTGATGGTCTTTCTTGCCAGAAGAACATCTTTCCAGTTTCTTTACAACCATCGTAACCATCATGACGCAGTTAAATTGTGAGTTAATGAACATTTTCTAACAGGTCTAAGTCCTAAAAATTATCATTAAAAGTTTAGTAAGACATTTTTCATTTAACTTTAAAAGGCTAACATCTGGGGCTAACGTGCATGATAAAAGGAATTGTAATATTGATATTTACGGCTTGCCTCTCATTGACAAAGAATATGTAACCTTTGGAGTCACTATTGATTCTCATTTAAAATTGACGTAATAAGCATTTACGTAATATGCATATTACGTCAATTTAAAAGAATATTTAAATACTGTATAAGTTGTTGAGACAATCTTTCTGAATGATTTATGATTATATTATACAGTGCGTACCAGAAAAATACAAAACCGAGAATTATCGATGTTTTATCATAACTGTATCACAATTTTAATTGATACATGACACATATTTGGAAAGCTTAGATCCTCTTCTTTCATTCGATAAAACTTATATAGTGTATATTTCGCGCATTAGTGATTAAAATGAATATGAAGAGAGGAAACCAAAAAGTCATTTGGCGGACGTTATCTGAATTTCAAAGAGAAAATCACATTTCTAAAAAGTTGAGTTTCTGCCCTTTCATATGACACCTAAATCAGGAAAAATGAGCTAGGAATAACAACGTTCTGTTTGTTTAATGTAGTGCTTGCATTTCCATAATTTTATTAAACGAATTCGTTTTCACTGACTGCCTGCCGTAGCAACAAACGGAATTAACAAAAGTCTTAACTCCGTTTCGTTGACAATCAGCGGTAGACAAAATACCCCATGCATGGTTGAAATGCGTGAAATATGCATCATATGAGTTGCATAGAATGAAAGAAGAGGATCTAAGCTTTCCAAATATGTGTCATTTATTAATTATAAATGAGACTAAGTTATGATAAAACATCGATAATTCTCGGGGGTTTTTCTGGGACGCACTGTATAATTCTCTAATTTCATCATATGTGTTATATTGTAATGTTGGATGGAGAAGTTGTGATATAACAAAAATTAATACCTTATTTCACTTCGAAAGCGAGCAATTCGCATGATTAATAACTCAATTAGTTATCACATATGCACGGAAACTTTTAAACATTAAAACTTAAAGTGTTCACATTTGTCAGACAGGCATATTTTACGTATAAATATTCTCATAATCAACTCCCATCCCTATTTCACAACACTTACAGTTTGAGGTATAATATAAAATACCTCAAACTGCGTCTTTCCCTTAAACCCCCTCCGCTTGCCCTAAAAAAAAAATCCTTTTTCTTTTGTTTTTTATTGTTCTTAATACAGTTTATTAATAACTCACTAAACAATTCAATACAGAGGAAAAAACAAGACTAAAAAACAAAACTCGAATCCATTCCATAACAACGTATGTAAACATATGGAAACTGATAATACACAAATAATCAAGGTATGGAACAATATAACATAAAATTAAAGAAGACATAAAAGAATACATCATACAATGAGTGCTTTAAATTTCTTTATCATCATTCCTTCGTCGACCAAAATGCACACTATCCACTCACACACACAATACACTCACATATAACACTCACAAACTTATACACAAAGATTGTATAAACACATTTTCATTTTAAAGCTCACCTTAAGATTTTTCTTTCGAGGCCGCCATTTTAGACAAGCATCGTCCTTAATTGCGGTCTCCTGCACTTTTTCCACAGAGAGTTCGGATAATACTTTAAATTTATAATAATATATTATAGAAATATTAAGTTTCGTGTTTTATATATATATGATTGTTACTGTTATTCAGTTATTGTATTTAGAAAAATGCAGAAATAAAATTATATAAAAAAATCAACCTAATCTAATTATCAAAATTATCAAAATATACGAAATCAAATAATAATGAAATACAGAGAGAGCTCTCGCTTATGAATATGATGTAATAGTTGCTGAACATTGGTAACTACATGTTCTATTTGGTGTAATGGAGCCCCCATCCCACTTTCAGAATTATTAAGCTTCGGAACAATTTCATTTTCAGACCAATGAACCTTTAGAGTAAAGCAACAATTTTGAATCATTAACCCAATTCCATTTTCTCATACATGAACATTCTGGTATTTCTTTCATCTCCACATTCTTCCTTATATTACATGACCTGATTAACCCGGATACAGGATTATTTTTTCGGAATTACGAAGCTTCATAAAAAGAAAATGTTGGAAAAATGATACGCATGTGATAACAAAAAAACACGATACTTGATACTTTAATACTGTACTTAGCGCCACGGTACATATTTTTTGCTGGTACTTAGACACTAGACACGCTATAATCTAAATGTGAAGGATTGGAAATCCATGTTGGGGGAAGTCGTTTTAGGGATCCCTTACTATCATGCCTAGTTACAGAAGTGATGCTTCACCGGAGTGTTGGCTCAGTCAGTAGAGCGTCCGCCTCACAACCGGGAGGTCGCGGGTTCGAACCCCGGCCGCGTCATACCAAAAGACGTTAAAAGATGGGAGTTGTTGCTACCTTGTTTGGCGTTCAACAATAAGGGATAGAGCAACGTCGATCTGGCGCTGCTCAGTGGCTGCCGGGCTCACGATCAATTGGGCAAAAAGAATTTCCGTTTCGGTTTAATAAAATTTGGAGTGGACTATTAGGCTATTATTATTATTATTATTATTACTATAAAACCTTGAGTCTGATAATAAGTGTTATACCAGATACCCCCACTAGGTGTTCAGGATGATAACTTGATATTATTCAGGGCATTATTAAATGAAGGTTGTTATCAATACCCCAGCCGCCATGACCTGATTAACACGGATTTGAGAAAAAATATCACAATTATAAAACTGTTTGCTATCTATCCAAACTTCAGTATTATCGTAACAGTTAATAGTAGGCCCCTTTGGCATTATCCGTTCATTGTCTTATCCTATATTGAAAATTGATGACATATAATAATTTAACTTGTTGTTATCATCGTTAGATTTACGTTAGAATAAGATAATTACTAAAACACCTACTTATTTGAACTTGTTTTGGATTGGGTTTTACTCCCCGTGATGCCATCCACGCGTGGACTGCATCCTGGCCTCCGCATTCGTGTTTAAATGTAGACGTCATGGCTTAATATCTTTTTGGTGTGCCATAAAATTGTTTGCTATCTTAATTATAAACCATTTTGAAGAATAATTCGTCCCACACTTGATAAACAAAACTTGTTATAATATGCAATATACATCGAATTAAAAATAATTAAAATATGTAAAAAGATAAAAAGCAATCCAGAGTGCAGGGAAACTAAAAATAACAGACTTCTGTAATACATAATTTGTTTTAATCAATCAAAGACAAATGAATAAAACATGTTGAAATTTAAAAGCTTTTCGAGGGAAATGGGTGGACCAAATTGAATAACCTCTTGTTTTTTCTTCTTCTTGAGACACACTTGCATGCCAGGAAGATCCTACAGGAGTGAACTACAGAGGAAACTTATCTCAGACAATCAACGGTCATACTTGTCAAGAATGGACCTCTCAGGATCCTCAACAACACGATAGGATACCAGCTAACTATCCTAACGCGGGACTAGACGACAACTATTGCAGAAACCCGGATGGTGAGGACACTGCTTGGTGTTACACCACCGATCCTGGGATAAGATGGGAGCTTTGTGCTGTAGGTTTCCTTGACCCTAGATGCCAAGGTAACAATGCATTTTGGTGTGTCATCGGGTCTATCCGTCGGGTCGAACTGTCGTGAACAATCAAGCCCTAATTCCTCATGTAGCACTTGTGAGATGCACCTCTCATATCACCAAAGCGTAATGTCAAGTTTACCTGACACTTTCTGAAAAACCTACAGCAAATCTACAAACACTCTAATGAATAATTCACATAAGAGCATGTTTTCACACATGTATAATAGTATAAGCAGTTTTTCTAGAGCCGTGCTTCAATATATGTGATTATTTCCATTTGAGTTACCCGACGATTCGTGGATATAGGGGTATGTTTTCGCAAAAGTTCGTGTAACGCGACAACCCGATCCGACGCGAAGGCACGGCGGGTCTTATTAAGCCTTAAGAATGTAAGGGGATCACTGATCAATTAACATCAAGATACATGCATTCATAACTGTAAAAAGATGTATTAACAATTAAAAGAAGAAAAAGAAAGAATACATTTTGTATTTATATGGGCATACATTTCACAACTAAAGAAGTTAAAACATCACATTGTTACAATATCTTTCATTCTCCACTCAAATTAGTCTATTGTCGATTCAAAACAGCCGATCGGAACATGTCCGAAATTTCTCTAGAAAGTGATAAAAATCCCCAATTAAAAAAGAAATTCTCTGACAAGCATAACAGGCTACAAGTGCTGCCAATAGGCACATCTCAGGGCACATTTCTTTTTTCGCACATGCACCTATGACCATCTTTACCCCCCCCCCCCCCCCCCCCCCACCACCACCTCTCCTCCGGATGATCTTCTCCTAAACCAATAATAAACTAATGAAGGAGCGATAGCTCAGTCGGTTTCGAAAACAAGTCGATGCGCTCGTGCCCTTTGGTAAGGCATTAATCCTCTTTTACCAGGTCCCTCGGAGAAGAACTAAAGCCCTCGACCCTCTGGTTGATTACTAACAAGCATTCAATTTATGCTTTCTTAGCAGTCAGGTAAAATAACCACCACTACCCTTAATAACGATTCTGGATTCCTTATTTTATGATATTTCCCTTAAATGTATTTTATATCAAAGAGCTGAATTATTGCAATTTCCTTTTTTTTTTTTACTTGCAACTATAATAGTATATCAAATTCCGAGCCGTTGTCATGTTATCCATACGAGAAAGCTTTAAAGAATATGCTCCGAGGTATTTTTCCTCTGGGTTCTTCCTACCTGTTAATATTTTTGTTAGTGTTGTTGTTGATGTTGTACTTGTTGTTGTTAATGTTGTAGTTGACCTTCTTGTGGTTGTTATTGTTCATCATTATTATATACATTTCGTTGTTTATACAATTTCTACTCATCTTCTTCATCCACATTTCCGTTCTTCCCAGTTCTCAGTCATTTTTTTGTAATCTTTGATTCCAATAGTCCCCACTTTTATTCCTACAGCAACGACCGAACCCACGACTAGCCCAACGACACCGACACCTGTACAGTCGGAAACTGTGACATCTCAAACCACTGTTGGTAAATATCGAGTTGTTTTGTTCTTGTTTAGATGATAATCATGCTCTCATTTTCACGGTTATTTGTTTGTCGGTTACACCGTGTTGCGAAGACGTCATGAATTTGATTGGTATGTTTTACCTCAAAGACTAGATAAATGAAAATACAAAAATGCTATAGTTACTACCAAGGAAATGGATTAGGGCTATCCTTTTTTTTTTTAAATTAAGAGACAAAAACAATAAAGGATAACAGCAGTTAAAGCATTTACATATACAAGTTATACTCATTCATGTATACATGTACGTAGATGAGAACAAATAGTATGATGGGTATGATTAAATTTAGACTAGAGGAGCCAACTGACACCAAAGACTTGCCAAATGATAATCGTTGTTTATGGATGAAACATCCATCCGAACCAATAGAAGGGGAATGAAAAAAAGGAAATACATAATGAATATAAGTAAGATAATTGACAAGTAAGGTAATTGGTATTTGGTAGTAGGCCTAGACTTGTCATGATATAGATATCACTTGAAGACACCATTTTATAAGAGAGGTATCAGAGCCAGATGTGTGTTGCTTTAGTGGTGTCAACACTTGGGAGTTGATGTACATGTTTAGGTGTGAGATATACATGTAGTGTATTTCTGGTTCATATTTTGACACAGGAAATTTTTTAAAGATGGGAGCATTGCTTTTGCTTTTTCATGCACCATTGTATTTGTGTCACTTTTTTAGATTATGATGTGTTAACCCATTTCCAGGCACCGGTATTTCTTTGCACTTTAAAACGAAATTCTTCAAAGAAATGTCTTCAAAAGTTGCCGACATACAAATAATATACCAATGAATGAGGTAAAGTTACTTTAATGAGTAAAATGACCATGCAACTCCTGCCAATAGTTATTCTTCTTAGAACATGACTTTCGTAAGTACGGATGAATCTATTTCATAAAGCCAAAGTTTGTTTCATTGAAAAAAGGTCCCATCCAGGATGCTAGCCCTCTAGGCCTAGAAAGTGGGGCAATCCCAGATTCGAGCCTGACAGCTTCTAGTGAGTGGGACACCGATCACAGTCCTTCTCGGGGACGGTTAAACATCGCCAGAATCGGACTCCTGCGCGGAGGATGGTCTGCAAAAATAAACGATTTGAACCAGTGGATTCAGGTCAGTTTCTATTCCTGAATGTCTTTCTTGTTCGTTTGAAGTCTCTCTCCTTAAATGTGGTGTATCCCTTTTGAAGCCACTGTCAAATTATGAAGAACTTTGCAGGAATTATGAATACGCATGTGAAATTTAAACGTTAGCAGTGTCCTAGTATTCAAATTATGCAAGAAAACCCGTTCAATTTCTAGACTTCACTGTCAGACACTATTGAGTGACTGAATTCTCTTTTTTCTCAGTCAATAACACACATAACAAAGCTTGGTCCACTGCTAATGATTTGAAGTTAAATGAGGATAAAACTGAGGTTATTTTGTTGCTGTTTTGTTTTGTAGTATTGTTTTATTGTATTCATTCAGTACAAAATATATAACAAACAAACATACAGCTTCATTGATTTACATATATCAAAATATAAAGAAAATTGTACATCTCTCAAAAAATACATAAGATAGTTTAATACACAGTACATAATGTTTACATTTAATTATACTGAACGATTATTATAAATCAAAGAGTTACCTACAGACAGAAAGACACACCACACACGCTCACATACTCAGACACATGTAACATGTAACATCTTGATTCAGGAAGTCTTCCCATTTACCATCTGTCGAAATTGCTAATGTTCCGATACAAACTGTCAAAAGTGCACGTAACCTTGGAGTCATCTTTGAAAATGATCTTAGGATGGATGATTATATAAAAAATATTTGTCGCTCAGCTTCATATGCCTTGTACAAGATAGGTCGTATTAGAAATTTTCTTGATCAAAAATCTACCGAAACGCTTATACATGCATTTATTACATGCCGTCTTGATCAATGTAATAGCCTTATTTATGGCCTTCCCGACTCGCACATTGCAAAACTCCAGAGAATCCAAAACTCTGCTGCCAGGCTTGTAACACGCACGCGTTCTTGTGAACACATCACCCCAGTACTTCGCGAATTGCATTGGTTTCCGGTGACGTATCGCATTATGTACAAAATCTTAGTTTTAACTTATAAATGCATTCATGAATTGGCACCAATTTATCTGCAAGAATTAATCGATGAAAATACAACCCTCACGCAGTTTACGGTCATCTTCACAATTAAACCTTGTATCTACTTCTTTGTCAACTCTTTCTTATGGTAATCGCTCCTTTCGCAAAGCTTCTGCTGAACTTTGGAACAGATTACCTTTAAATGTAAAAAACTGTCAAACTGTTAACCTATTCAAAACTAGTCTCAAGACACATTTATTCAAAATAGCGTTCAATGATTAATTAACTCTGATCACTTTGACGTGTATTCCATATTTATTGTAATTTGTATGTTTATTTGCATTTTTAGTTTTGTATAAGATGTAATTGTATATCAGTCTATTTTGTGTGTATAGTGCTTAGAGACTTCGGTGGTAAGCGCTTTATAAGTAACGTTTTTATTATTCTTATTTTATTATATCATTATAACAAGAGCTGTAACGGGTACATGAGCGTTTGTCTACATCATTAACCTACTCTTGTAATGGCCACAATTAAACTGATTAAATCTTTGCACAGCACAAAACGTTCGACAATTCGGTACAAGGTCTGAAAATCAGACTATTTAATTAAACGAGCGCTCGTTAAATTTAAATCGATAACTAACGGTCGTTATTTTACCACAAACGACAGTTTCAAGCCCTTCCGTTTTGAGGGAATTAGTATCGTCTTCCAAATTCCATTGGAAACTAATCTTTTCCCTTGTTAGGCCTACAAATGGGACATATTACCTTTAAAGCTTAACAAGCTCATCAAGGGTATCGTGGTCGAGTAGATACGTCGCCGGACTGCGAAATTTTTATTCCCAAACAGGTTTGCAATTTCTTATATTTACGTTCTTCTCAATGGCTGATATGTTCTACGTCATTCGTAGCTTGGAAAAAGGTCACGAACAATTAGACTTTGATTTTGTATTGCTTTGCCTCACTATTTATAAAGGAAAAAAAACTGAATAAATTGAGACTTGAACCCAGAACTCTGAGATCGTATTACGCTGACCTTACCGATTGAACCACCGATGGGTTGGCGATAAGTGATTCTGCATGATTTCTATAACCCTATCACTCACGTCATTGCTAATGACGTAACATATCAGCCAATCAGATGACCAGAAATATTAGCATTGGCAAACCTGTTTGGGAAAAAATTTAGCCGCCGGAGCGTCAATCACAAGGTCCGCGGTTCGAGTCCCGCCGCGGCACACTCCACCCAGGTGAAGTTAATAGGTACCGAATAACAGGGTAACAGTGTTACTCGCTCAACCAGGAGATCACACGAACACACATCCCTTCAAATATTCATTCCTCCCGAGAACACTGACAGACTTTTCAACTATCCATATCAAATATTCAATTATGACTACCAGCATGTTCAGTTATATTACTTTAGTATTTTATGCGCGCACCCAGTCCTAGCGTAGAACAGTATTACATGTACTATTACTACAGATATAAATTCGGAAACAGACATAAACACTCCCGATCAAGCGTGCAAGAAAAAGCTATCCGGCAATCAAACTACGTAACCATTCAACATTTGCATTTCATTGAAGAACTTTTTAACGAAATGGACACAGTTTTAATACATAAACCGAAAAGAGCTAAACAATCCAAAAAATACCCCCCCCCCCCCCCCCAAAAAAAAAAAAAAAAAAATACCTAAATATACAAATAACAATAACAAATAAATACATAAATAAATAATGATAATATTAAAAAATATATTAAAAAATATTGAAAACATCCAAATGCTGACAATCCAAAGAACAAATTTTCAGAGCAGTCTACAGAATAAAAAGAGGTACCTTCCAATTTGCTAACTATAAACTATTGCTACGCCTAATTTCTAGGCCTAATTCACAAATGGACATTTCGTGATGATTTATCCAGAAACAAAGGTCGATATCATCGTCGGCTATTGTTAGGTATTAAGTAAATCATACAGGTCTTTTTCGACTTCTTTTTGGCATTTTTCAGTCTTTCTTTAACATGTTTAAAATCAGATGTCTATTTTTGCTTCTTATGGGCTTTTCCCGACTTTCTTGGTATAAATTTGATTTGGATAGGACCACTTCAATTTGATTAAATATTTTTAACACATGATGGATCCCGTAGATCTATCGAGGGAGCTCTGATTCGATAGGTAAGCATAGACATCAAAAAGATAAAACATATTTTAAAGGGGGTGTATCATGGCAAATACTGGTTAACGTCATCTACGTCTTCTTTTGAACAACTGCACGTAAACGAATGGATTTGATTGAAGTGGGTCAGCGCTTGCCAAACTGGGTTAGCGCGCGCTAGCGTTCGCGAAACAGACCGAAGTTCTCCTCACGCTTCGGTTTCGCGTCTGTTGCACGCAAATGAATGCTGCGGTCGGACGTCCGTAGTCGTATTATACCCGATTGGCCCCGGGTAGGACCACGGAAAAGACACATAGTCTCGTCATGATACACTCCCTTTAAAGGTACTATGTCCCTTTGGCAGCCAACCTCAAATGCTGTAGAACTTTGCAGGAATTATGAATATGTCATGTATGTCCTATCTGTGAAATTTAAACGTTAGCAGTGTCCTCATATTCAAATTATGCAAGGAAACCCGTTTACTTGCTAGTCTTCATTGTCAGACACTATTGAGTGACTGACTGGCTTTATTTCTTCTTTGGTAATAACATACATGAAAAGAGTTGTAAAGGGTACATGAGCATTTGTCTACATCAATAACCCACTTCTTGTGATGGCCAAGATTAAACTGATTGAATCTTTGCGCAGCATAAAACGTATGACCATTGGGTACAATTGTCTGAAAATCAAGACTATTACTTTTGGGCTCTATAGCCCTAAAGTCGATTTGAAAACTAATAGTCGTTATTTTCCCACTTGAAGACATTTTCAAGCCCCATCTTTTTAAGGGAAGTTCTAAATTAGTATTATCTTTCAAATGCAGTTGGAATTTAACTTTTTCATTTTTGGGGCCTGCAAATGGGACATAGTACCTTTAAGCAATCTTTGAGGCTATAACTGCCTGCTATAGGCCTGACGCCGAATTTGAGCATCGCTTGAATACCTATTCCGGGTTTAAACATCGAAATTCTTTTCTTTTTTTGTAAGTCCGTAAAGGGGAATTTTGCCCCCAATAACTTTGTCGCAAATAGCAGACAAGATCACTAAGGCAGGACAAAATCCAAGATGAGAATATGATGTTTATATCAGCAACATCAAAATTAGGCCATTTAAAAAAATATATACATGTTTAGCGTCCCCACCCACATCCTTTTGGGGGCCGCCTTCTATTTTTGTATTTTTTTTTTTTTGAGGTGAATTTTGTTTGGATTTATTTTTTTTGATTTTTTTTTTTTTAAAGAAAAAAAACATGAAAAACACTACTAAAATGCATCTATTTCTGATCTAAAAAAAATTAAAAATGTCGGCGGCCATCTTGAAAATAGCCCGATTGTCAGGGGAATTGTACCGAGCGGCCATCTTGAGCGGCCATTTTGGAAGAAAAATCATAAGAAAAAAAGGGCCTCCTCCTTCCTATTTTTCAAAAAAGCAGGACCCTAAACATGTTTTTTTTCTGTTTTTTTTTCTTTTTTTCTTTTTTTTTTAGGGGGGGGGGGCTATCATGCACATATTATTTATATATGTACATATGTATATATATATATATATATATATATATATATGTATTTTTTTTATATTAGTAAATACAAACATGTTTTTTACTATTTCCATTATCATTCAAATCTCAGGTTGATCTTTTAGAAACGTACAACATCGTTGGAGTGGCAACGCAAGGTCGTCAGGATTTGGCCCAGTGGGTAACCAGCTTCAAGGTTGCCTGCAGTATGAATAATGTTATCTTTGAAACAGTGAAAGACCTCGATGACGCCGACACCGACATCGTAGGTACCAATTCACTCACCCTTCGACCCTAATCAGTTAATTGGTCGATTACCAATCTCATGTGATTCGTTTATTGAGCGTTTCTTAATTCCCTTTTTTCTTCCTCAAATTATCGTGCGATACATTCCAATACTTTAATTTCCTCACCGATGATGACAATCTTATGAGTTACATCTCTTTCGAATTACACATTGTGCTATTCTCAAGTGAACGATTTTGCGTGTTTTCCTCAGATCTTTCCCGGCAATAGTGACCAAAACACCGTGGTTTACAATCGCTTTCCCGTGCCAATGACGTGCCGATATGTTCGCCTTTTACCTTCCACCTGGAATCAACATATTTCTCTTCGCATGGAGCTCTTTGGAGAATTCCTAGGTGAGCTTCAGGTTTAAACTGAGCCTCCTTCATTCGAACAAAGAAAGGGAAGAATGTGATGATTTTATTAGATGATTTAGTAAATCAGGGTGACATTCTAAGGTTTATGCTCGCGGAAACGCTCCCAGATATGCTCGGGGGGGGGGGGTAGCCGGGTTCACCGTTACAAAGTAAAAACTACAACTGTTTAGGTTCAGAAAAATCCAGTAGAATGCAATAAATTATTAACTTTTATAATTAACACATTGGAAATATTAACAAATGAGAAGAGGTCAAAAATCCCAAAATATCAAGAGTTCGAGAAAAATGTGAAAACAAACTTCTTCTTTTTTTAAAAACAATTTTAAGATAATTTTCCATCAGCTCTACAGTCATGTCAGTAAATTTAAGCCAGAGAAAGATATACTGCCTGCAATTTTCTCTTTGCTTGTTTACGAGATGATTTGGTTTACATATTGTTATGTATATCTTTCTAGTATGCCCAATTTTGTGTCACTATGTGGTAATGCAGTTTAATTATTGTTTGCTGCAGGGGCGTACGCAGGATTTTTTCAAGGGGGGTTTTAAAATATTTTGCTCCCGAAAATTTGAAAATCGCGCCAGCCGAAAAGTCGCTCAGTTGGGGGAGGGGGGGGGGGGGGGGGGGGGGTAAGCGAACACTTTTTTTTTTTTGGTCTCGAAAGTTCAAAATTTGACATTTTTCTTCGTTGAGGGGGGGGAAGGTCACCTTATTTAGGTTAGGCGTGGGTATAATTTTTTTTTTTTTTTTTTTTTTTTTAAATAATAAAAAAAAAAAAACCAAAGGGGGGGGGGGTTTTAGGTTTTTTTAGGGGGGTTTACATACATAAAAATACCAAAGGGGGGTTTGAACCCCCAAACCCCCCCCCCCCCCCCCCTGCGTACGCCCCTGGTTTGCTGTGATAAAATTGATACGAAGGTTGTAAACAGAACCTAATGCAAGACCACTTTTAAATGAGCCATCCGGCACATGTATAATTATCTGAATTGATTAAATGATATAAGAAATGAATATATGAAAAACTTAAACAAATAAACATGTAAAATCAAGAATAATAAAATAATTCAGTAAGTATTCCTATTTATCTCCAGTATCAACTGAAGCAACAACCATGGACACCACGATGAACGAATTACAGGTTAGAAACGGGTCACGTGATTGCATAGTGAAAGATAACGTCCTCAAGTAGTATGGCATGGTTGATCAAATAGGCCGTGTTTTTAGGTAGTGAAAACATCAAATGACAATTGATTGACTCAATATTTTTCGAATCACTGACAATGAAAAGCTCTGCATACAATTACGAATAAAAAATTACCCTGCATGCGGCATTCAAATTAGATGAACATTTTGATACTATTTTCGTCATGTTTGGATTTTTGGGGAGGCATTTCAAGAACAGTATATGCCATTGCTTCTATGACACTCTTTCACAAGGGAAACTAATGAAGACAAAAAATCACAAAAGTCACACTTCTCTTTTAAAAAAAAACCTCATTAGAGTACTGCAGGTGAGACTACCGTTTATTTGGAGACGACACGAGGCGGTCAGGTAACGACCAGGAAAGCATCAACAACCTTGAAGACATCAAGTGAAGGAACTGTCGCTGTGACCGCACCGACCAAAACAACGCCCCCAAAGCTTCAAGGTAAACCTCGTATATTATCGTTCCCCACAATAAAATGGATAGACTAGTAAAAGCGAAATTAAAGTGAAGGGAAATGCTACATTTGGCCTAAGCGTTAATCAACTGCTTCTGAATAAATGGCTGAACATCCTGCCCAACCTATAGACCACTTCGAAGATACTTCGGAGGTACTCCCTTACAAAAAAAATCTCTATGGTACACCATACAAACACCATAGCAAATCTACCATAGATTACCATACAAACACCATAGCAAATCTACCATAGATCTACAATTCATTTACCATAGAACTAATTAAAATAATTGGGACAAATTTATTCATTTATTCAAATTAGGCCACACCTACATATTCTTCCATAGAGCCACCATTCATATACCATAGAGCCACCATAGAGTCATCATTCATCTACCATAGAGCCACCATTCATCTACCATAGAACCACCATTCATCTACCATAGAGCCACCATCATCTACCATAGAGCCACCATTCATTTACCATAGAGCCACCATTCATCTACCATAGAGCCATCATTCATCTACCATAGAGCCACCATTCATCTACCATAGAGCCACCATTCATATACCATAGAGCCACCATAGAGTCATCATTCATCTACCATAGAGCCACCATTCATCTACCATAAAACCACCATTCATCTACCATAGAGCCACCATTCATCTACCACAGAGCCACCATTCATCTACCATAGAGCCATCATTCATCTACCATAGAGCCATCATTCATCTACCATAGAGCCACCATTCATCTACCATAGAGCCACCATTCATCTACCATAGAGTAACCATTCATCTACCATAGAGCCATCATTCATCTACCATAGAGCCACCATTCATCTACCATAGAGCCACCATTCATCTACCATAGAGCCACCATTCATCTACCATAGAGTCACCATTCATCTACCATAGAGCCACCATTCATCTACCATAGAGCCACCATTCATCTACCATAGAGTAACCATTCATCTACCATAGAGCCACCATTCATCTACCATAGAGCCACCATTCATCTACCATAGAGCCACCATTCATCTACCATAGAGCCACCATTCATCTACCATAGAGTCACCATTCATCTACCATAGAGCCACCATTCATATACCATAGAGCCACCATTCATCTACCATAGAGCCATCATTCATCTACCATAGAGCCACCATTCATCTACCATAGAGCCACCATTCATATACCATAGAGCCACCATAGAGTCATCATTCATCTACCATAGAGCCACCATTCATCTACCATAAAACCACCATTCATCTACCATAGAGCCACCATTCATCTACCACAGAGCCACCATTCATCTACCATAGAGCCATCATTCATCTACCATAGAGCCACCATTCATCTACCATAGAGCCACCATTCATCTACCATAGAGTAACCATTCATCTACCATAGAGTAACCATTCATCTACCATAGAGCCACCATTCATCTACCATAGAGCCACCATTCATCTACCATAGAGCCACCATTCATCTACCATAGAGCCACCATTCATCTACCATAGAGTCACCATTCATCTACGATAGAGCCACCATTTATCTACCATAGAGCCACCATTCATCTACCATAGAGCCACCATTCATCTACCATAGAGCCACCATTCATCTACCATAGAGCCACCATTCATCTACCATTCACTACCATTCAAAATATGCAACAAAATGTTACGCTTAATTGTAGCATTTTGAAATGGTATATTCAGAATGGTAGTTAGGGTCTTGATCTATGGTTAGCAGAATGGTGGCTGTAGTGCGTTCTATAGTACACAGAATGGTGACTATAATATATGAATTTTTGAGAAATCTAAACTTAAATGTTAACTTACAATACACACATGACGCTTATTAAAACAATGAATTGAATGAAAGTGGCAGGATGTATTTGGTTTATATCAAAAGTGGGGGGGGGGGGGGGGGGGGGGGGGGGGGGGGTAAGCGAACACTTTTTTTTTTTTTGGTCTCGAAAGTTCAAAATTTGACATTTTTCTTCGTTGGGGGGGGGGGGGGAGGTCACCTTATTTAGGTTAGGCGTGGGTATAAATTTTTTTTTTTTTTTTTTTTTTTTTTTTTTAAATAATAAAAAAAAAAAACCAAAGGGGGGGGGGGGGTTTAGGTTTTTGTTAGGGGGGTTTACATACATAAAAATACCAAAGGGGGGTTTGAACCCCCAAACCCCCCCCCCCCCCCCCCCCCCCCCCCCCCCCCCCCCCCCCCCCCCCCCCCCCCCCTGCGTACGCCCTGGTTTGCTGTGATAAAATTGATACGAAGGTTGTAAACAGAACCTAATGCAAGACCACTTTTGAATGAGCCATCCGGCACATGTATAATTATCTGAATTGATTAAATGATATAAGAAATGAATATATGAAAAACTTAAACAAATAAACATGTAAAATCAAGAATAATAAAATAATTCAGTAAGTATTCCTATTTATCTCCAGTATCAACTGAAGCAACAACCATGGACACCACGATGAACGAATTACAGGTTAGAAACGGGTCACGTGATTGCATAGTGAAAGATAATGTCCTCAAGTAGTATGGCATGGTTGATCAAATAGGCCGTGTTTTTAGGTAGTGAAAACATCAAATGACAATTGATTGACTCAATCTTTTTCGAATCACTGACAATGAAAAGCTCTGCATACAATTACGAATAAAAAATTACCCTGCATGCGGCATTCAAATTAGGTGAACATTTTGATACTATTTTCGTCATGTTTGGATTTTTGGGGAGGCATTTCAAGAACAGTATATGCCATTGCTTCTATGACACTCTTTCACAAGGGAAACTAATGAAGACAAAAAATCACAAAAGTCACACTTCTCTTTTAAAAAAAAACCTCATTAGAGTACTGCAGGTGAGACTACCGTTTATTTGGAGACGACACGAGGCGGTCAGGTAACGACCAGGAAAGCATCAACAACCTTGAAGACATCAAGTGAAGGAACTGTCGCTGTGACCGCACCGACCAAAACAACGCCCCCAAAGCTTCAAGGTAAACCTCGTATATTATCGTTCCCCACAATAAAATGGATAGACTAGTAAAAGCCCAATTAAAGTGAAGGGAAATGCTACATTTGGCCTAAGCGTTAATCAACTGCTTCTGAAGAAATGGCTGAACATCCTGCCTAACCTATGGTGGCCCTGAAGGGACATCGCGAATAGACAAAATCGTGAAAAATATGCGATAAAATTCACGATATCGTCAATTTTATCGCATATTTTTCACGAAGAAATTCACGAAATTGACGATATCGTGAACTTTATCGTGAACTTTTCACGATGAAATTGACGATATCGTGAATTTTATCGTG